GTTGAATATAATGTCCCATCATCATCTGTGGACATCAATTGACCTTAAGCTAACTAGTAAATAGCTGTTGCAAGGACACAACACTCAAAACAAATATTTTTACATAATATTGTGAGAGTCTTAGACAAAAAGATATACATATATGTGAACTTTAGATTTCGGGGTTCCTCAAGGGTCGGTGTTAGGACCACGAAAATATTGTATGTTCTCCAAACCGATTGGAGAGATTTGTCGTCGCCATAGCCTTCGCTATCATTGCTAAGCCAATGACACACAAATTTACATGGTCATAAAACCTCAGGCCAGTTGGAATACAGTCTCAGAAAGTCTGGAAGCTTGTCTGACAGATATCAGTATCTGGATAAACGCCAACATGCTTAAACTTAATCAGGAAAAGACGGAACTGATCGTCTTTTCCCCAAAGTGTCAGCAAACAATGGCTCTCTAGCTCAAGTTCGGTGCCAGAACTATCGAGACTGTTCCAGCTGTTAAAAACCTAGGGGTATACTTTCACAGTTCTCTGAACATGGAGAAACGAGTGAACGTTATTGCCAAATTCTGTTACTACCAGATCAGGAACATCGGCTGTATTCGGCAGTTTCTAACTGCAGATGCATGCAAGATTTTGGTGCATACACTTGTTACCTCTCAGTTGGATTATGGTAACGCCCTGCTCTGTGGTATATCTGACAAACTAACTAGGCCTGCAGAGGGTCCAGAACACTGCAGCACGGCAAGTTACTCGTACTCGAAAGAGAGAGCACATCACACCTGCGCTTTATTCGTTGCACTGGTTACCTGTACGATACAGGTCGCAGTACAAAATTCTGGTATACACATACAAGGCACTGAATGGAACAGCTCCTCAGTACCTACAGGAGCTTGTTACCCTGTATCAGCCGTCAAGATCACTGCGGTCGGAGTCAGAATCTTTGTTGTGTGTCCCAAAATCTTGTACTGTGACCTATGGAAACAGATGCTTTGGGAGGGTTTCGGCTATGTTGTAGAATAGCTTACCATCTGCTATTAGGAAGTCAAATACCCTGGCCAAGTTTAAGATGGACATAAAAACTCACCTCTTCACGTCTACATTTTAGAATCTTTGCAAAGATGTCATGTAAATACCACCCTTTTATTTGTTCAATTATGTGCACATTGCTTGTTAAATGTATGAAACTTTGAAAGTGATTGCAAGCCTTTGTTGTTTGTTTTCACAATTATAACCATTACTATTATCCATATGTTGTAAAGCGCCTTAGAGTAATTTTACAAATTATATAGGGCGCTATATAAATGTTGTACCAGGTATATTATTATTATTATTATTATTTATTATAACATTTTTCACAAACAATGTACATAGCAAAGATGAGCCAATTACCATGATCAATAGAAGTTAGCAGTATAATTCATGCCTATTTGACCTGCAAGATTTTCTGGAAATTCTGGCTATAAAGCAAGCATAAACACAAAATGATATTGATTCAACTTTTTATAAATTTATCACTAACTTTTATTTTGGTTTGGACTATTTATCAATGGTTCTTAACTTGCTCCATCAACTTTTTAAAAATCAAAGTTTGGATCCCAATATTTTAAAAATTATTGATTTTCTTGTTGTTATAAACTAAAATTGATGTAACATACAAGAAGTATGATACAAAGAAGAAATCTGATTACATGTTGAATATATTATATACAGGTAAACAAAACTTGTATATTGTCTGGTTACATATACAGTATATACAAATGTACATTTGTATTCTGACATGGACGGCTGGCCCTATTGGTGTTCAACAGACTAAATATATATACAATGCACATGTACTGTTAACTGACTTGGCAGATCTCAGTATAAAGAACAATAGAAAAAAGCAAACAGAATTCAGCACTGACAATGAAGATGTACTGGTTCACGATAAATAATCAACACCATTCATCTCTACAACTTGGTGTACATTAATGCAGATGTATGACAAAATTAACCCTTTCACCCCTATGTAACTTTAGTAGGCTCTACCATACATTGATATGGATGAGTCCATTATGGTCTACAGTGGTGAAAGGGTTAAAGCTAATTAATTTTATACAAAATACTGTATATATTGACGAAGAAATTTCTTGAACTTTACACCCTATTAGTACATACACATAATGATTTTCTTATAATAGTCTAAACGAACTGTTACAGAAATGGTTATGAAGTTACCAAGGAGCCTGTGCAACTTCAACGTCAGTTTCAGATTTATAAAGAAGTAATTCAGTTACATTGCCGACGTCCCTGTCAAGGAAGTTGATAGTTCAACATACTTTAATTATCACCTCAAATCTTCCCTCCGCTGTTGTTACTAGTTTATAAATGCAAATAAATGATGCCGAGTTTCCCCACAAGTTTTTTTTAATCTCAAATATGCAGTTTCCCTCCACTTAAACTGTAGCTGATTGATCTGTATCGTAAATACCTCAGAAGCACTTTTGTATGCAGATTCAGATTTGCCAGATTAATTTTTTGTTTTTCTTAACAAAGAAATCTGTTAAACTAAAAGCAGTTGTCAACCGCCTTTTAAAGTTCCACAGCAGTCTGATATAGAAATACAATATTTTTTTATGATTTTTTTTTTTATTTTTCAAGCAGATATAGCAATTGTCTACACAACGAATTTGAGAGATTTAAAGTTCTACAACAGTCTGGTATAGAAATTCAATTGTCTATACAATGAACTTGAGAGATTATTATCTTTTTCAGACTTCTATTCTTTTTAAAGTTGCTCATTTGTTTTAAATTTTAGGCTTTGAAATTAGTGAGATATTCTCAAGGCGTCATCAGCTGATTTTTGTACTGATACAGACATACAGTACGCAGTATACTTAACCATACATGTCCACATAACTAGGGTGTAAACTGAAATGAAGAAGAATTTTAGAAATACCTTGGTTGAATTTCTCATTAAAAGAAGCTTAAATAACAAGGCATGGCTATTAATGGTGCATTCACAGTAAGTAAAAGATGACTTATAAATCAGAAACTTAGCAAAGGTGACAGATCCATAATAACGAATGAGCTATTGGTGTCACCTTGTTTGTTAAGAACCATCAAAAAGATTTACAAAAATGTCTTTTAAACACAGACGCTCCACCCCAACCCCCATGATGCATTGAAAGTAGTGATGGGCAATCGGTTTAAAATCATAATCGATAATCGGTTTGTAAATTTAAGTTGTAAACTGACTGATGATCGATTGCATAAACCGTTTAAGTTTTATGGGACTGAATACCAAAATAAAGTGAGAAAACTTCTATTACGTCAATAGACAGAGTTGTTCACTATATAGATAAGGCCAAAATAAAATAATAGTCTGTTTAGGGTTGTATGGGCAAAAAAACAAGGGTAGGTAGGTCGATTTTAAAAAAAAAATGTATATTTTTGTGTACCTGCAGGTGGTCATGTGATTATGACTACTATATTGTATGTAAAACAAAGAATTATATAAACAAGGTTCATTGTGCTCCATATATGCTGACATTTAGCACCAAAACAGAGCTAGAAGCCATTTTGAAAGGCAAGAAACCTTCTAAAATTCGAAAACCAGTGGGTTTTTTTAAAAAGATTTTATTTTATTTTTTTCATCAAAAAGTTTTGGGTCAGGGGTAAAAAGCCAGGGTAGTCGGTCGGGAACCCTAAACAGACATATTTTTTTTTGGCCTTATAGGTTTCTTTCTTTTATAATGAATGGATATCAAGCAACATTTATGCAGTTTTATCAATTTATGATCATATAGTATAAATCATAAGAATATATGACTTTTAAAGCATATATACTTTAAGAACCATCAACATGATTTACAAAAATGTCTTTCAAACACAGAGCCCATCCTAGGCCTCCTAACACCATGCTAAGCATGCATTGACAGTCTACATATACATGTACATGTATATCATTACAACAGAAACAGAATGACAAACCCAATCAGTGACATTTTTTTTTTAACTTTAGACAAAATTTGGGAATGGGGCAGGCAAACTGCAAACACACATGTACAGCTTTATGCATACTGGTTTATATGCACTGTATATATATATATACATGCATACAAAATGTCACTCAAATTGCTTCTGACCTTGAAGTCTGATTGTGTAAAATGACATTCAGAGCATCGTGATCAGATTATCAACTTATCTCCATCAATCACGTCAAGTTAGGTTAATATTGTAAATATTGAGAACTATCGTCTACAGCTAGAAAATAGTAGTAATACACGAGTTAAAAACTGCTGTATAAGAAATTTATCAGTTTGAAATTTAACTAATTTGCAGACTATATATACATATATTTATAACTGATTAATTTTTACATTTGCCAACTATACATTTATAAACATTGTGATTAAAATTTACCTTTACATATGAAGTGTCTGGTACAACAGCATGTACTTAACAAGGTGTGCATGGCATTATAATATCTTGGTTACCTTGATAACCCTGGTAACCAGGTAATATGATTGGTTGCTAACGGGAGAAATGTTAGTATACAGGTCAGTTTATAATCATTGTAGGCTAAAATGAGTTCACCATACCTAATTAGGCCATGTTTACACGTTGAAGGCCAGTGACTGACGTGCACACTTTCTTACCTAACGGTATTACTACAGACATCCCTGCAGTGGAATTTCCAGCATACGAGCAGACGATGAAAACATCACAACTTTTAGACAGGGTTTATCCTCAATTGTACAATGTCTACAGTTGTACGACATCTCTATCGTTCTCTTTGTTATTGTAACATAAACACTTGGACTATAACGTTAACGTGTACGTACGGAGAATGAATGAGTCATGAACTGTGCGCTTACAGCTATCATTGAGAAAACCTTTGAAACACACACGCTTAGCCAGTACAGTATAGCATAGTCACTCAGGCGAACTGGTGAATCATCACCGCTATGAATCCCATAAGGCCTTGTTTACTAGGCATTCTGCGTACTAGCTAGATATTTCTCACCTTATCCTTCAACACGTAGACGCCACGCATTTCTTTGACATCTTTCATGAAGTACTTTGCCACAATGCTTCTTTTTGAAACTTCACAAGATACGATGAACCACTTTCCGCATCCAGTGACGCCATTTTGGAAAATGTGTTTTGCAGTGTCTGACGTCACTTCGCGCGTAATTGGGGAATCCGATAGGACTCAGCCTCTGAAGCAATTTCATGAATTTCAGGAAATACGTTTTTCTTCTTAAAAAAGGTTTGAACGAGAGAAAAATAAATGTTGTGTACGTTTTATAAGGTACAATCGGGAATAGATCGCGCGCTCGACATCTGTAATTTGATTTATACTTGAGGAAATATAATATCAGATTATGTAGAAACTCTGTAAAACAGTGAATACACGTTTTGAAATGACATTGCTTATCGCGTCATGCAGTATCAGTTCTTGAGGGGCAGAGACTATAAAATATAATGAGTGTTCTTTATCAAGCAGAGATGTATATATTATACGTCTCTGCATCAAGTATACGTGTACGCCAAAAATGATACGTTCACGACCAGCTACAATATGTACATGCATATATATATACACAATTTATGCATACTTATCTCAAGTTCATTGGAGAGTTGTTCAAGATCTATAGACTTTCTGCCATCAGTCTGATACGCTAATGTAAAGGACATCTTTCATATGGAAGTTAACGATAAGATATTTTATTTATTTATTACAGAGACGTATATATACTGGCTTTGTATGTCTGTTCATTAATTTTATTTTTAATATTTTGTTAAATGGACCTGAACAGGAAAATCCATGGGATGTTTTCATTAGGTTTAAAATGCTAAATTTAGAAAAAGATATCAAAATGACTTCAATTTTGCAGTGGTGACTTTGCAATCAATATACGACATTGTTTGAAATAATTTAAAATACATCTTTCATATTGAAGTTGACGATAAGATATTTAATTTTATTGATTTATTTTTAATTGAACATTTGGTTAATGGACATGAACCGGAAAACCCATGGGATAGCTACATTTCTGAGAAAATATTAGTAGTGTACACATGCGGTTACAAGTACAATGTACGTAGAAAACGTGGGAGTTCTGAGAAGTTAATGGATGCATGGACAAACAGCTTTAGTTTGTGTGACGTAATAAGTTGAACTCCAGCCAATACACAAGTTGTTTTCGTCACTTAGCTGAACGAAATAGTGCTGGATTTGGAATATACAGAATTTTTAGGTTTCAAGGAGGGGGTGGGGGGTTAGGGGGNATACATTTTCCAAAGGGGTGGGGTCAAAATGTTTGTGAATCTTTGTTTGAAAATTGACATTTGATGTGGGATCCATACTCAATATACTGATAATCATACTTAACATTTGATTTCATTTCCTTTTTGTGAATGCTAACTTTAAAAAAATAGTATCAAAATGACTTCAAATGTGTATTTTTGCATATACACCTACATTTTTCCGACTTGGTTTGAAATGGTTTGCTTGAACCTTAACTAATATGTTTAGAGCAATTCTAGATGTTTTTGATATTTAAAAATGACACCCGAATGATGGTTTGTACGCAGTGGCATCAAAATGCCAGGGTCCCTGTTGTCATTCAGTAGTTGACTCTAGATCCGCTGGTGGACTGTCAGTCCAAGAGGTTCCATTTAGCCATTAACATGTAGCTGAAATGTATTGTCTATTGTAGCCTTAAGTTATTATAATGTAACGTCATAAAAGGTATAATTTGAACACTCTATATTTCTTTTGCTGAATATACATTTCTACGTATGTTTCGGTATATTTTAGACAAAGATTTTTTTAATTCTTTTGACCCTTACTAACACTGATGAGTCCAAAGTTGACAAAATGGCAATATGGCGCAGTAAAAACATTTTCACTTCGTTTGGTTCCTGCATCGTCTTGTTGATCTTTTGCAATTGGTGGTTGCTACCTTCGTGTTTCTAGTTATCATTTTTACGTCACAAAGTGCCCGACTCTGCTGGTGCACGATCTGTAATCCCAAGTTTTTCTGTATAATCTTGCAGCTGAAGTTTTATACAAAGCTATTAGAAATTATAATCAGGAATTAAGTCACCTTACGTAGCCAAAGTTGTGCATGAGGGTCTTAGAAGCACCTTTTCGGCCATTTAGCTTTATTTCTACGTATATCCTGAAACTTATTATACAGGTTTTCATTGTTTTGACCTTTGTACTTCTGAGTCCCAGTGGACGAAATTTAAAAAATGCGCAAAAACAAAATTGCTTTATTTTAATAGATGTTTTCCTTACTGGGATTATTAAGTGGTTATGTGTACGTAGAAAGGTGGTTATCTCTGCTGGTGACTAGCAGTCCCGGAGCTTTCCTCGACTTTGTTGCTGTGATTTCTTCTGGCACAGTTTTCGAAAAATATCAGTTGTATAATGTATCTTTGTACATGTATTGTCATAGAGAGTTTCATAAATATCTTTTCAGTCATCTTGCTGTCTTTCTACCTACGTTTAAGAACATTTTAGACAGAGATCATCATCCTTCTGACCTGTAGCACAACGACCGAATGGTACTATTGCACAGGTGTAATCTGTTTTGGTTTCTGCACGGCTAATTTGGTTTTTACTTCGTATTGTATTTACGTAACAAGGTACTGTGTATAAATCTGCTCAGTCCCCGAGGCAGGAATACCTGTGTAAGAATAGATTTTCTGCTGTAGCCAATAGCTCCATTTGTTACGTCATAAAGAATGCCTTTTTTTTCGAGAAGCCTTTTTTTCCCATTTTGTAGTATTTCTGCATATGTTTCGTAGCATATTAGACATTGTTCTGGCCTTAAGCACTACTGCGGAGTCCTAGATGCACAAATTGAACATATGGTGTTTATTTTGTGTTGGATTTACTCCTAGACGTACCCATTTGTTATATAAACTGTATTTATTTACAAAAAATATGAAACCGATTATTTCAACTTAAAGTAATCACTCTTGTTGGCCCAAGCTCATTTATTTTGTATTTTTAGTATGTTGTTAGGTATGTGAACACTGACTGGAGACAGTAAAGCTTAAAGACATGCACTAGTATACGTAACTATGCCAAGGTGCTTACCATATACCTTTGAACATATGTCAGGCGATAGTCCATCTGTGACAACCTTTCTGCAAATTAAAAGGTTAGTAAAATACACTCCAATGGCAACGTTTTAGCCCTAAACTAGCCCTACCTCATTTCTGTCAAACACAATACCAATAATGATATACAACATTTGATATATCGCCCTGTCTAGCTAGAATAAGCCACTCTAAAGCGCTTTACGGTAAATAGATTTACAATTTATACAATTAATACAATTAGCATATACACTAATAAATACAAGTTTGAGTAATTCGCAGGAGCTGCCTTATCAGGCCCTAACTACTAGTCCTATGCCACTTGGCTAATATCTCCCTATGTGTGTATGCCTGCGTGTCTGCTGGAGATGTATTGTTTTCTGTTTGTAGAGGGACCGTGCTTCCAACGGCATCATTTATAGTGCCACCTCACTTGAATGCTACAGCACAGATACCGCAACATCCACACAGAACATTTTATATTCCATCTGGGTTGTTGGAGGGTTAACGTTATATATTGTTTCATTAGCTTAAAGTGTTTGCACTGTCAGCCAGACACTTTTGTCTAACAGGTCAACTTGTGTATTGATTACTTTAAGGTACATGTACATGCAGTGTTTTTTAAGGTTAACTTGGGGCCCTACATGTATAAAGGCCCTTTCCCCTATATAATGTTTGCTGTTTTTCCCCCCAAAACAATGTATGAGTTCCCATATTTACATTATAGTATTATATGCTAGGTATTGAACGTTTTTGGTTAATTTGTTATTTTTTGTGATCTGTTATTTAATGAAAATAACATCACTATATGTAAATAAACTAGCAGTAATATTATTTTTTTCAATTTCTTCTGTCGTTAACTCTGTTTTGACAGATAAACGTCTCTGAAAATTATATTTTTTTCTGGTTTCGTTCAGAAAAGTTGTCCACAGATCTAAACCCAGGTCCTGAGAATTTGATACAGCTATATTTGTTAAGTTTTTAAGCGTAATTTTACACGTTTAATGGGTTTCGATCAAATTCCGGTAAAGAAAGCCACCCCAAAGACCATTATTAGGGTAACATTTTAAGCGAAAATTGATCTAAACTCCGACAACATGTAAAAGTACTCTAAACATCTCAATTTAGGACCAACGATAGCTGAAACAAATGTTTATGTCCCTGTAATCTAGAACACGCACATTTGGTACTGAACCCTAAAATAATATCATATCAAAAACGTTAAGTCAAATGAAAGTGGAAACCAGATTGCCTTTTAAGCAAATACTTATTCTTTCAGTATGAAATAGATTCCTTTGAACCCATTTTAGTTCTTTTCAATATCTGTTATCATCGACAATATTCATACAATGTGACACGCGAAACCAAAATTCTCTCTCTCGGCTCAATATAAATCTCCCGATCTCAGCTACGGCTAAATCTAGACGATTGGTCTCCCCTGTACATTACACCAAGATTTTCTGCGATAAATTAAGAGTTTCCCCCCTTTTTACTAGTAAAACGTTTACCCCATGGTTACATGTTTCATGAAGTGTAATTAATTTTTGGCTCGCTGTATCTTAAACGAAATTTCATAGGTGCCGTCACAAGTGCCGCTTCCTTTCACCTTCTAGACATTAGGTGATGTACTCTGCTGGTTGATTTCTTAGTCCCCCGAGCGCGGGCTGTCATAACTTTGATAGTTACATTGATCTATTTTGGGTAGTGGTACTGATCATTTATAATACTTACCAATTATTAATTTAAATTTAATCAGTGGTCCTCTAATTTCTGAAAATTATTTAATGAAGGGGATGTACGCATCTCCTCCATGTAGCTGAAATTTATTGTCTGTTGTAGCCTTAAGTTATTATAATGTAACGTCATAAAAGGTATAATTTGAACACTCTATATTTCTTTTGCTGAATATTCATTTCTACGTATGTTTCTGAACATTTTAGACAAATAATTCTATTCTTTTGACCCTTACTATCACTGATGAGTCCTAATTTGACAAAATGGCCATATGGGCAGTAAAAAAAGTGCCCGACTCTGCTGTGAACAATCTGTTATCCCAAGTTTTTCTGTAACCTTGCAACTGAAGGTTTATACTGAGCTACTAGAAACCATAATGAGGGATTAAATCACCTTACGTTGCTAAACTTTATTTCTACGTATATCCCAGAACTTATTACACAGGTTTTCATTGTTTTGACCTTTGTTCGTCTGAGTCCAAGTGGACGAAATTGAAAAAAGCGCTCATAAACAAAATTATTTATCTCTGCTGGTGACTAGCAGTCCCCGAGCTTTCCTCGACTTTGTTGCTGTGATTTCTTCTGGCACAGTTTTCGAGAAATATCAGTTTTAGAATATATCTTTGTACATGTATTGTCATAGAGAGTTTCATAAATATCTTTTCAGTCATCTTGCTGTCTTTCTACCTACGTTTACGATATTTTAGACAGAGATCACCATCCTTCTGACCTGTAGCACAACGTATGAGTCCTGTATTTCTGCACGGCTAAGTTGTTTTTTACTTCGTATTATATTTACGTAACAAGGTACTGTGTATAAATCTGCTGGTGCACTATCAGTCCCCGAGACAGGAATACCTGTGTAAGAATAGATTTTCTGCTGTAGCCAAAAGCTACATTTGTTACGTCATAAATAATGGTGTTTTTTTCGAGAAACCTTTTTTCCATTTTGTAGTACTTCTGCGTATGTTTCGTAGCATATTTCATTGTTCTGGCCTTAAGCACTACTGCGGAGTCCTAGATGCACAAATTGAACACATGATGTACTATAATATTTATTTTATGTTGATTTTACTGCATAGACATTCACATTTGTTATATAAACTGTATATATTTTACAAAAAATATGAAACCGATTATTTCAACTTAAAGTAATCACTCTTGTTGGCACAAGCTCCTTTATTTTGTGGTTTTAGTATGTTGTTAGGTATGTGAACACTGACTGGGGACAGTAAAGCTTTAAGACATGCACTAGTGTGCGGGACTTTGCGAATGTGTTTACCATATACCTTTGATAATATGTCAGGCGAGAGTCCATTTGTGACAACCTTTCTGCAAATTAAAAGGTAAGTAAAATACACTTTAATGGCAACGTATTAGCCCTAAACTAACCCTACCTCATTTCTGTCAAACACAATACCAATAATGATATACAACATTTGATATATCGCCCTGTCTAGCTAGAATAAGCCACTCTAAAGCACTTTACAGTAAATAGATATACAATTTATACAATCAAAACAATTAGCATATACACTGATCAATACAAGTTTGAGTAATTCGCAGGAGCTGCCTTATCAGGCGCTAACTACTAGTCCTATGCCACTTGGCTAATATCTCCCTATGTGTGTATGCCTACGCGTGTGCTGGAGATGTATTGTGTTCTGTTTGCAGTGGGACCGTGCTTCTAACGGTATCATTAATAGTGCCAACTCACTTGAATGCACACTACCGATACCGCAACATCCACCCCATACCATTTTATACTCCATCTTTGTTGTTGGAGGGTTAACGTTATTTTTTGTTTCCTTAGCTTAAAAAGTGTGCACTGTCAGCCAGACACCTGTGTCTAGCAGATCAACTTTGTGTATTGATTATTTTAAGGTACATGTTCAAATTTAATCTTAACTCCGACATCATGTAAAAGTACTCTCAACACCTCAACTTAGGTCCAACTATAGCTGAAACATGAATGTTCATGTCCCTGTTATCTAGAACACGTACATTTGGTACTAAAACCTAAAATGATATCATATTAAAAACGTAAAGTCAAATGAAAGTGGAAACCGGATTGCCTTTTAAAGCAAATACTTTTTCTTTAAGTATGAAATAGATTCCTTTGAACCCATTTTAGTTCTTCATCTTCATCTTCAATATCTGTTATCATCGACAATATAGATACAATGTGACACGCGAAACCAAAATTCTCTCTCTCCGCTCAATATAAATCTCCCGATCTCAGCTACGGCTAAATCTAGACGATTGATCTCCCCTGTACATTACACCAATATTTTCTGCGATAAATTACGAGTTTCCCCCCCTTTTTACTAGTAAAACGTTTACCCCATGGTTACATGTTTCATGAAGTGTAATTAATTTTTGGCTCGCTGTATCTAAAACCAAATTTCATAGGTGCCGTCACAAGTGCCGCTTCCTTTCACCTTCTAGACATAAGGTGATGTACTCTGCTGGTTGATTTCTTAGTCCCCCGAGCTCGGGGTTGTCGTAACCTTGATAGTAACATTGATCTATTTTGGGTAGTGGTACTAATCATTTATAATACTTACCAATTATTAATTTGAATTTAATCAGTGGTCCTCTAATTTCTGAAAAATATTTAATGAAAGGGATTAACGCATCTCCTCTTCTGTTTCAGAATTAATTTAGACAATTTGGATTTCCAACTTTTTGACCCGTAGCATCACCGTCGAGTCCTAGAAGGACGAAACAGCTGTATGATGTAGTGTAATCCATTTTGCCATAATGTCAGTGGCGTAGCATTCATGTATGCTTGAATGCTTACACTGACATTTGCAATTAGATTTTTCAATAGTATGTTTTAATTCATTTCTTTCTTGGTGGTCGATATGTACCGTCCGTATCCTCAATCATCGAAAAGGAAAGAAATAAAAAGAATCTTCTTGAAAATTTTCGTCTCATAAAATAGTGTTGTTATGCTATGTCTTTACGCATTGACAAATCTCCGAGGTTTATGTTAATCAAAAACTACTTAATGAAGTACAAAATTAAATATTATTCATATAAAAAGTAAGGTTTTACTTGTTAATCATTAGACTTGAAGGGGTTCCCACAACACGGGTACTTGCTTCTAGGGCCTAGTAGATTGTCTCCCAAAGTTATCCCTCCCATACTCTCCCCCTCCTTCGGCGCTACGCGCTTCGGACTCTCGACCCCCTGCAAAAATACACTCCGAAAAATGGTTTGCAACGCCACTGACTGTGTTTACGTATATTACTTGATTTTATAGGTGCAATTACAGGGACCTGATAATTTGTTACAGCTATATTTGGACCAAAACTTCAGAGTAATCTAACACGTTTTAGGGGTTTAGTTCAACCCTCGGTAAAAATGCCACCCCAATTATGATACAGTAGATACTACTCTGAAGACTATAGTTTAGGTCCAAAGAAAGATGTAATAAATCTTAGGTTCGACTTCCTGTGGGTACAATCACCAGTATGTTACGCTTATCACTGTAAGGAAGTAAGTATTTACAATCGTCTTCATTATGTCAATCTGTAAGTGATTGTATGAGCAAGATCACGTGATTAGAGGTAACACTGAAACATTCTCAGTATGGTGACAGCCATACTAGTTGTCGAAAAGTTTTTCCAACAAAGATTAGTTCTGAGTTAAAATTTATTGTTTCCAGATTTGTATAATATCATTTCAGAAAGATAAACCGGATGCTTGTTTTGTAACGGAACAAATTCAAACATCCCATCACTCATCATTTTTTGTTCCAGATGTTTGTTGCGATGAAACAAAGACAATCTTTTCAATAGGATCAGCATATGTTATAACGTTATCAAACTTCGTCGAGGTCAATAAAGACTTTTTGTTTTGAAGCCGGATGCCGTAAGAATATTGTCTAAAATGTTTTCCCATTTGAAGACAGTTTAGACTGTAGTAAAGAATATAAATTGAACAACAATACATTTGCCAAAGAAATTTCATGAAGGTGATTTGACAAAAAAGTACCAACATACTTATTTAAGGATGTAGTCTTCTGAGGTTTCAATCACGTTCAAGTCTCGCTTTGATCTCGTATAAGGGATTTGAGTAATATTTAACAAAGTATGATCAAGTTTAATACCAAACACGCATCTGAAAAATGTGTCAAAAATGCAAATGTCTGTTGTTTGTACAACTGTTTTCAAAAGAATTTAAAGAAATGACCTATTCGGCGGCCATTTTGAAAATGTGTATTTTTGTGTATTTCTTGCGCTTCACAAAAATCCAAACTTTTGCTCTTTTATTTTACTCTAGATTGATCACTTAAACCGTCAGTGTGTCGCCATTTTAATTGTAGCAAGTTCATTTTTGCTGTACAACTTAATAATGTTCAATATAATGAAAATGATATGCTACAAAGTGGAAAATTATTCATTTTTGTTAAATAAAAATTAGATATTTAATGTAACTAAAGCACTTTTGATTTTTGACCCCGAATTAGTGGAAAATAACACAAATTATAATGGGACAAAAAAGTAGCACACGACGGGGTAGGGGTAACCTAAATTGCTTTTCTGAGTTAAAACAATAAGTTATGGAAATTTCACTTCCATAATTATAAAAGAAAATACTATTTTTGTCAATTCTGCAAACATTCATACATATGTGATACCACACTTCGAAAGATATTGTATACTTTTTTCCTGCATATGGTCAAAACAGCAAAATTCACCTTAAATCACCTTTTATGTCAAATTGGTATCTTTGACCGATCATATAGCACAAAAACGAAGACACGGATATATAATTCTTATTGCATTTTCTGCTATGCCATTAACTCCCTTTTCCAAAAATGCATATGAGAAAAAAAGTTCAATACAAGAATTGTGTGACTTCTCAGAGGTGTACATCCTTAAAGCTGACAATGCAAGTTAAAAAGCTTTCAATTAGGATTAAATTGTGCATTAGATATTTTAATTGGTCGGGTTTTTTTTACTACTATTACCACTTTTTTAGATAAATGCTTTCTTTGATGTGTTCCATTTCAATTTTATTCAACTGATCTGCTGATCTGATACAAAATGTCGGTCATAAATCATGAACGTGATATACATATATATATAGTATAGTAGTGTCACCTTGCGCACATATTGAACAAATGATAACCGGTTTGACAAGTAATGCGCTCTTTATACCCAGCGAGACCCATACTAAAATGTCGGCACTTCCTTAGAAACGATAGTCGGAAAAGATAGGGAAGATCTCAAAACCAGAAAAAAATAAACTTTTAAAAACAAATCTCAATTGGAAGCTTTTTCACTTGCACTATCGGCTTGAACAGTCCTCCTTATCAAGGATTAGAAATAACTCAAACGCATCTACTCGGAACGCTTCGGCGTTGTTTATTACTTACATTCTTACGGTTTGTGCAAGAGTCAACGAAATAGAGTAAAATAAGCAAAATAAATACTAGTACATGACAAACAAACCTTGTCTGTCCTTTATTATTGGCTATTACTATAATCTATCTCTGTTCACACACTTTTCTTAAATATATATAATTTTAGATAATTAAAGAATGTTTTCGTAGACGTTACAATAAAACCTTCTGAAAATATGGTTCAAGCACAACAGCTTATTGTGTCAGGGAATAGAAATGTCCGACAGATTGAAAGGATTTCCCATTATTTCACTATCAAGTGATAATACGCAGGCCGCTTTATGGATAATTAATAACAGATATACGTAATGCAATATTATGCCGATGAAAATCCTGACAGTAATATGTTAGACATTGCGTTATAATTGCCTACTGATAAAGGGTAAGCCGTTCACTATATGTAGCAACATATTACTCTCATACACCTAGCAATATATAGACAAACCTTTGACGTCATATGATATATCATGATGCCCAACTTATGTGAACCCTATATGCAATTACAAATGTACATAAATATTATATAATACACTTCAATTACAAAAGGTGAACAATAGGCATTTTAGTTACTGGACATAATATTTCTTTTCAAAATTATACTGAAACTTTACATACAAATATTTTTGTATAAATTCTTATTAAATAATACTTATTTGCACCGGGAAAACATATTATTTCTATGTTTGAATATTTCCATTGATTTGTTTTCGTAACGTCAGCTACAGGTATCCAAATTGAATCGCTAGCTATCGCAGACGTTCCAAAACCACACTCCTGAGCAGTTAGGCTCTACGGGTTAATCTAAAATAAAAAGAAAGAAATAGACTAACGTATACACACATTCGAGAAACTAATGAAATAGCAACAACAATATTATCGGATTTGTTTCAATAATTTCATTGCTATCCTTTTCAATATAATTCTGAAGTGTAAAGATGGTTAAAGTTAACTATACATATTTGATTTAAATAACCTATTCTTCACTTTTCCCGCGCATGAAGAAGATCATTATTTTGCCATACACGTAAAATATATAGAATTTAACGGCAAACCATTCAGGACGAGGATGGTAATCTAAAATAGTAAGTGTTTTTCAACGTAAATGTCTTCAATTTCTGTGATTTCGTAGTATGAAGCGGTACCACACTGACCTATGTTCAAAAATACATCGTTAAGTAGACACTAGTCCTTCAGTTATTTTTGAAATAGTTAAGCTGACATATGCAGTTTTTAATGATAATTCAACTTTTTTTATAATCATAACTTGACTTTTTATTGCAATATAATTATTTCGACTTAAATTATCTGAAGCCAGGAATATACCTCTACAGATTAAGAAGTCCTAAAGTTGAAACATATTTTTTCTAAGATCATATTTTTACATCAATAACACGGGTTTTCAAATAAATATACATATCTTCACAAAGTGATACTCTGATATACATACTGACCACCAGGCATAATCGGTCTGGTCAACGAAAAAGTCGTCACATTTCTAAGGCTTCCATCAACATTGGCGCCATCATTGCCGTTTGCAAAGACATTCGTCCTTGACCTTGGGTACCACCATTTTGATCTCCTTGTCCTGTCGGGTTAAAATATTTCAATAAAATAAATTTAATGCAATTACTAGAAGCAACAGTATTATCAAACAACCCTTGTCTAAAATTAAATATGGCGTTTTATCTTCTTAAGCTCAAAGGTCGTCTTTTCAAATGACCCTTTCTTGTTTTTGGATTTTGTTTGGAGTTCGACTTCCTGGCAACATTTAAGATTATACAAAGAAAGATGCCCCGGGGAGACAACACCAAATAGAAAGAATTAATAGTCATTGTATACAGGAAAGGTTTCGCCGGTAAAATCTATATTCATCCGAATTCATTTTGACCTTCACATGTATCAACTGTATATATCATGCTGTACACTTGTATTCTCTCTCATGATAAATTCGCCCTTATATTTTGCGGAGAGCGAAAAGAGCAAAAATGAAATTGCAATGAAAAAGTTACCGGCATACAGTATTATATTGATGCATTAATAATCAATGTTATCATATACAACGAGTTTCGGAGGTCATCATCAATACCAAAAATATGATTAACTGTTGCAAAGACGAAGTCCCCTACCCCAAACAATACAACAACGTACATAACGCTTTGCTTTAGTACATGAGCAAGCAAACAAAGCCAGAAAGATACTGGAAAAAATCAGAGCGCTTCTTCTTTTAAATCAGACATATGCCTGTTTCAAAAACATAACACTGATTCTTAAAACTATTTTGACACGCGTCCTCCACAATTTGGTTTATAACATTACATTTACCATACGACCTTGGCAGAGAGTTCCCGGTTGTTAGCTATGATAATGAACCAACAACACTCACCAGTTGTTGAAACATTGATGCATATTCATATAAGGTTTGCTTGGCTGGTCATAACTATTGTGGACTTCGTTCTGCTGCTTTACGTTACCATTTAAAGCATTCGGGCCACATTAGAAACATTCCTATGCGTACATTGATATGCTCGTTAGGTACACACATGAGTTCGAATATGTATCCATATATTTAATTGATTTATCAAACAACCGAATAATTACAGCTGTATTGATACTGATAAAGCCATCAGAACTTGTTTTTTAAACTACAAATGCATAATCCTTGTTGCGCACGATTAGTACGAAATCGCAACGGAATCAATCGATTGGTTTTCAATATGACATTGCAATAAGCGTTGGCATGCCCAGCAGATTTTGAATATATATAATTTTCATTCCATATTTCAAAAAATAGACAAAATGTGTGAAACTATGGTGTTATATAGTGTATTAAGTATGTCAGTCTTATTATGAAAAAAATTGTTCCACATCAGGTTAGAATAGTAAATGTACAATGCCCTATTACAAGGTGTCTGTCATAGTGTAATTTTCCTTTGTTAATTCCAACACCCTCTCAGGTATCCTTCTCTAAGCTTGTTTTCCAATCCCTTTGAACTCGTATGTGTTAACCACCCGTGTATCTATGTTGTATAATTGAATAAAACACTGTTAACATAATCAAACCAATTAATCCGGTCAATGATGTAGATCATTGTGAATATCCATTTTCCGATATTCACAGACTGTCAATATCTGTTCTTATATAGTAATATAATGCTCCATCGTATGGATTCGATGCACTTATGAAATCAGAAGTTTGATCTTTTCTTATCTGATAGCTCATCTCTTGACGCAATATACCCCCCCCCCCCCCCCCCCCGAACTATGTTTGAAGCGGTTGTTTTGAGTTCTTCAACCGTGCTCTGATATGTAAATAATTTGTTTCATAAATAGTTTGTTCATGGATGAAACCTTCATTTACGAAATTCATTGTCAATTATACAGGCCAAATTTATAGCAAAATGGTCATCTTTTTTCAAATCTAATTTTTAAATTTGATCTTCGCATCGCGACATATCCATAAATGGGAGCTATGCAAATATCTTCTTTTCATTAATTGCTATTTTCTCTATAACAGAAGAAAGAATATGACGAGTTTGCTTTTATATACACGTCTTCGTATACTTTTCGTGTAACACACAAAATCTTCCATAATCTAAACAAAACATTATTTCATATGACCCCCTACACTCATGATAACAAATTATACTGTCTAGAAAGACAGAACGGAGCTATCCTGGTTCACAACACCATCATAAATAAAACACGATGATACCTTGGTAAAGATTTGACATTTGACCGCGACCAGAGGACAGATCACACTTTTTATATATTATTGTGACAATATGTACTTAATTATTATCTTGTTTTAACCTTTATACTGACAACATTTCGTTTGACGGTTAAGAATTAAACTCCTTACGTTACTAGTAATTGTGTGTGGGTACAGCCGTCTGCTTGGTGGGGTTCTCCAGGGGGAGAGGGAATCCTTTATTTTACGTATGTTAAGAGTCAAGTAGGGTTGAAATTGTATTATAATGACTGTGTACTTAATTATTATCTTGTCGTTCCTATAGCTCTGACAGAACTAAGAAAGAAGTTCCCTACGTCACTGTGACGTCACAGTGCGTCACTGTGATGTCACCTCGTCACATGTCCTTACCCGCCATCAGCTCTGACATCAGACACCTCATTGCCCACCATCGTTTACAGCACCTCATACCCGTCCACATGTAGCCGCAAGCGAACACTTGTACTTCAGTCTCTGGACAGTCCACTCGAGAACAGCGGCAAAACAGCGACATCTTGGCATCACAGGTTTGCATCCGGAACCGGTAATGCATTTCTGCCAATCTCCGCCTGGCCTAGTATCGACATATGATGTAAATGTTAATATAAATAAAATTAAACTTTATTCATTTTAAAACCTCCGCGAAACAGGTTATGTCACCTTATATCAAACACTAGGGTGGTATTGTTTAGAATACGCACATACAAATGTAGAAAGAAAATTTGCTCTGCTTTTCTTTTTTTTCCTTAGGATGATGTGTGTTTTCTTTGCAATGATATGATGTCGTTCAAATCTCATCATAACGAGGTTAAACTGTAAGACAGCTTATTGAGTCCATGTTACCATGTTTCTTGTATTTGTGTAAACTATTCGGGTCCTATCTATATATTGTTTCATCACTTACCATCATTGCATGATATTGCCTTTGTCGTCTGGAGATTCTAGGCTTTGGTGTTTTAGTTCGCTTTTTAGATTTGACAGGGCCTGGCTGAGCTGGAGATTTCTGTCCACCACCTTGCCGGTTCGTTGGCCTCTGCGCAGGTCTGTAGGCATTCATCTGGTTTGGGGTCCTATTAATACTGAAGCTCTGTGGCTGCACCAACCGTGGTGCCATTGCTTGGCGATAGGTCGGTCTTTGGTTGTATACGTCATTGTTGTAGTATGGCACTGTAAATGAAATCAATAGTTTCTTTATCGATTCCCGTACCACTGTCAAAAATAAAACTATGCATTCCAAACTTATTTCCCGGCATGATTATAGTTTTAATAAATCATTTAGAAAAGAAGAGTATATTTAAGGGACTTTTAGGAAAAACATATTTGTCATGTAATTGTAAAAGTTGTAATAAATTGCAATCTCTTGTTCAAATGAATTGGCAATACATATCTTTAAAGTAAAGTTAGTTCATTAAATGTTTTACAACACCCGCAAAAGATCGTAATATAGTGTATACAATGCTATAACCTGTATCCTTTTCTCTTCCTTAATATTTCGAACAATAAAATGTTTGAAAGAATGTTAAGGTAATTGTATGATTGGAACATGTTCCCTATCAGCTTTTGTATATTGCCTATGGAAATTTGTGTAATGTGTCTGATCTACATTCTCACTCAGTAATTTGAATCAATCTAATATTAATGAGATTATACAGAATTACCCGGTATCGGAATATATTGATTTATTAATTTGTATTTATTATCAATTTCTAGGATGGCGTTACTTTGCTATTGTTAGTCCTGTACGATAATGAATGTCTTTCACAGCAAGGTGGCCAATTCGATTAATCGATCGGACGTGAACAGGTTTCGGGTCAGTTGCCCGACCTCGTGGGTTTCCTCCAGGTACTCCAGTTTCCTCTCATATTAAGACACCCGTACGCTATTATGGTAGCAGTATACAGTAGAGGGTTGTGGCCATGGGTGATATTTTTGTTAAATGGCAACCCCTGTATAATGATATGTAAAAAAAATATAAAAATAAAACTGTACTAAAATTGGTATAAGCATGATGAAGTGGGCTATGTGATCATGAGCTTCATATTTGTAAAAAGAGAATAAAAAATTGGCCATAATCCGAAAGGGTGCTAGCTTTACAGGAGGTAACATTTTGACAACAGCACACGACGCAAAATTGCAAAAAATCAAGTTTTACAAATTTACTGGGACCCAGATAATTCTGCAACCAGGTAGGTAATTTTTAATTTCAGACAGAACTTCAATAGCAGGAAATAAAGTTTAGAGATACATTAATGTCTTGAGAATTGTAATAAATAAAAAATGAATTGTATGCCTCTGCTTATATATTTGTTTGTTTGTGTACAATGTGTGTGTGTATATACATACGCTTAAATGCCCTGGTTATCATTGCCTAGCAATTATACACTTAAAATATGTGTGAAACACTCCAGTGTGTATTTAGAAACACTGCAGAGCAAATTGCTCCAAAATATATCTGGTTGATGATTCATCAGGGCTATGACAGAAACGAATCGCATGGACACGACAGACATTAAGCTTCCGCATAAACCATACATTTGCAATCTGTACTTTATCGCGATAATGAAATTTCGCGATTTGAGGCATACATTATTAAAATGATTTTAATTTTCTTCACTGAGCAGTGTAATAGTCAGACTATTTCACAGACCCATTAGTTCCACAGTTCTGAAAAATCGCGAAATTGTCATCGCAGCGAAAGTTTATTTATAAAACCTTTTGTTGTTTAAAGCAATGTGAAGTGTCGATTTCCCAATATCTTCGTTTGTCATTCGAAACGTCGTTTTGCAAAATGGAAAAATGCCACATCCTATGTCTTACCTAATCTTCTGACACCTTCTTGATTTGAAATGTGATATGGAGAAACGAAATTTAAATGAACCTTTTTAAATACGTTTTACGTGACGTAAGCTTGACATGTCAGTTTTCTGACAATATTTGTTTATTTCACTGATTTTCATTAAGAAATACGTGTTTTCTTTTTTAATTATTTTAGTACAGTCTCGTAGGCTTAGAACACCTGGCTTGTTATTTTTCACACAGTGCGGACAATAAATTACGATTACGAGTTGGCTACTTCACAATGCAAACAAGCATAGCAGACACTTATATGGGGGATTATTAATTATCTTGAAGCACTTAAGTCGAATGTTGTTATCCAGGGTCACCTCTGATCAAGAGGTGTCCCCAGGCAAGTTGTCCTCTAAGGAATATGTGTTGGCCAGGAATCACATTGACAGCAAAGAAGGAAAGTTCCCTTATTTTAAGCAAGTTCAAATTAGTGTGTATTTAAAAAGTCAAGCTCAAAAAAAGGAAAAAAGAAAAGAAAAAATATACAGTAAACGTTGTGACATCGGAGCTGCAATGTTGATCCCTCAACACCCTTAATCCTAATATACGTGCTGTAGTTAAAATACTAAAGTTATATTAAGAAATGCCAACACAAACACTAAGCCAAATTTTTTAACTGGCAACGCCAATATCAACACCAACGCTAACGCCAACGCTGGGAGGACTTCATAAGCTCCACCACCTTCTAGCGGGAGAACCATATAAAGTTTGCATGTATATCCTTCTAACCAGCGCACAATGATGTTTTGCAATAAATTAAAATTATACTTGTGTTTTACAGTAAACTGATTAATTGGAAAGTAACATTTAGAGTAAAATCTTTCTGACTTGATTGTGGTATTTTATTCAAGTGACTTGCACAATTAACTCACTCACCCCAGAAATTTCATAATGAACTATTCCAACTTTTGAATTGGAAGAGTTCAAATGTGTCTCTAGGTGTGAATGAGTTAACGTCGTCTATGCGCCGTTGACGAACACTTTTTACTATTTAGAATTATGTCTTATGTCTACTCACAATCGAGTCAAAACCGCGTCAGACAATTATTGAAAAATCATGATCACATGGTGTGTATATTTGTTTTTATTCCATGAAATCGAACGCAGAGATACCTTGCAACGTCTGTACTGCGTGTGGAATGCATCAGACAGGCTATGAAAACAAACTTACCAGAACTTTGACCTTTACCTGACATATTTTCACCTGAAATTCATCGTGCAGATAACACAAATATAGCAAGTTTCCAAATTAAATCCTTAATATTTATTAAAACGTGTCTTATTTAGGCCTCCGGAAACATGGCAGATAGGGCTATTCATCAAATGCGACATATTCTTTGACCTCACGAGCACAACATGCTGAATGCTGTTCCTAGTTGGACAGTTATTCATTTCTGATTGTCCATTTCAGACGTGTATTTCGTACAAAAGGTACATTGTTTCCTTCGCCTGCTTATGACGTCACATTGCTTGCGGTATTTGAATTTGCACTGTTTGAGTCGTCGTTTCTATAGTAGTTATTGTTTGTCTAGACTAGGAAATCGCGGGATATTTTGCTGCTTGGCAACGAGTTCGTCTGGGCGCACGAGCTGCTCCCATCAAAATATCAAAAAAGCAAAAAATTAAAATAAACTACAATTAAAATAAAAATTCATTTTAACATTGATGAAGATACTACCCTAGCAGAAAACTAAAAATTATTGATTTTGTTATATTTACTTCACGTCAGTTCATCTATGTAACATATTCATTGTATGGTTAATAATACCTCCCTATGGGGATCAGAAAGACTCATTTTCCTCCCCTCCATGATTTTTTGAGTCTATATATTCTACTATAGGGACGAGTTACTAATTAAACTACTCAGTTCCCTTGTTTTGCAATAGGTAAAACAAATATATCGTTCTTGAAAGTTTATATCTTGGAAAACAGTTTGACATTGGCCCTAATTCCGTACGAAGAGAAAAGTCATGACCTTCTAAACTAGGTTATTTAATACAGACCTGTATCTATTGTGGACATAGCCCTAATTAGAAAGATAGCCCAAGCCATAATATTAACCCTTAATACAATTTTCAAAATATCAAACAGGTGAACCTCTCGGACAACTGATGTTCGGGTATGAAATACATTCCTGCTCAGTTAACCCCTGAAGAATCGGATGTGATTTTTTCCTTTTCTTCTGGTCAAGGGACATTGATAAAATCAAGAAGGGACCTTCTGTATCCCACTGCATGTGTATCCTTGGGATCATTTCGTTTCCTATCTTTCCTGTCATCTTTTGTTCTGTCTACGTCTCCCTAGACATGCGTTCGTATTGACCATGATTGGTGCCAGGACATTAAAACCCAAAACTAACAAACAAACGAATCCTGGGCAGTTATGCTTGAAATGTTTTGTTCCTTGATTTGATTAGAATATGCATTTCATGAATACCAGTTATATTTCAGCTCATTGAATTAATGAACTTAATCTTTTCCAAACACTTAACGTTAAAACAAGAGTTCTCTCATACTCATTCAAATGTAACTGATAAACTGGAATGATAGTACAATATTCCGTCTTTGCGTATTGCAGAATTATCTTCTCTTGGGAGCAGGTATTGATTGTTACGTCATTGGCTTTTGGGAGAAAATGACGTCGTTTTCTCAAAAATGTATGACGTTACTCTCACAACCAAGTGACATAACAATCAATACCTGCTCCCAAGAGAAGATAACTCTGCAATACGCAAAGACAGAATACATATACACACATTGTTTTCATATTGCCGGCCGTTACCAATTTATGACGCCATTGACGAGCAAAAATTGAAATTTCCTTTTCGTCAATCGTCAAAAATGATAGACCTATGTATGTGGGATAGATAGATAAATGTGCCCTTGTCTAATAAAAAAGGCAACTCATGCGCGACGTTATCGTTAAAACGTCCCACGTTACGAATACCAAACAACATCACTTTATAATAATGAAATAATAATAATAATAATATTTTGAGGTTCTTATATACCGCTTTATCACAACCTAGTTCGTAGGTCGTTTCAAAGCCGTTCACAAATTATTATCAACTTCCATGGGAGCATACAGCCGGTGCTGCCATTTCGGCGCTCATAGCTAGCATTCAACCATTCCAGCACTACCCAACCACGTCCTCATTTACAGCTGAGTAGACTGGAACAAGCGGAGTAAAGTGTCTGTTCACAGTGCCGTGACGAAACTCGAACCCGTAACTCTTCAGTCACAAGCCCGGCCTCTTATCACTAGATCACCGTGCCTCCTATCCAGCGATACTTCAAATGATGGCGCCGTGCTTTTGGTTAATGATTACAACATTGGAATTTTATGGTACGAAAGTGTAAGAAATGAAATTTAAACGGAACAATGTTGACCCTTGGATAAGCATTCTTTAAGGTTTAGCACTCGTCAAAGACTTTTTTCTAAACCTTAAAATCTCATCTTTGCTTTTAAAAAAAAATGTTAACATTACGCATGAGTTATGAATTTGATCAAACTTGCATTCGTAGATGTAGGAAAAATAACTATATATAGAAAGCCAAAACTGCAGTGATCTATAAGGTGCTCCTTGTTGATATTCTCTTTTTTTGGTATTTGAACCCATTGTTTACACGTTTTCTAAGATCAATACGAAAACAACGTAGACTTTGAAATATATCAGCAATTTCATAATTTGAGCCTACATAGGCGGGGTCAGTTGTTTTTTCTGTGACCATTGCTCTATATTTATCACGGTGAAATGGAAACCATACAAGCTACCCACATACATCCACGAATCATTTGTATACACCTATGCAAAGTAGCATCCAGGATACTTTATTCATTGCTCACAGGAGTTAAAGGGAAACACTATTTATTTGAAAACAATGTAACGCATTCATTTAAAATGAAACTTATCATGCAGAAATTTGTGTAACAAATAACATATGTATTTTACTCTCCTGAATTGCAGTAAAATGAATCGTTAAAGTCTTACAAATACAAACGTGCATTAGTGTTATCCGACTGAGACCGTGTGCATGTCAGTTAAAAGTCAGTAGTAAAGTCTTGTTTTAATGTAACATTAATATTAAATGGGATAAAAACAAAGAGCGTCATGCATCGGCCATGAGGTCCCTTATGATTGAAAGCGTTTGCGCTCCAGTGTGCTTGGCCGGAACGACTTGTGTCTGACCTAAAATGGTGTGTCAGATAATATTTTCATCATCTGGCAGCCCTTGCTAACTATCCATATATTATAATACTGCTATACTATACTTTGTTTATTTGAAATAAATGTTTAACAGCTTGAAAGAAACAATACAAAATATGTTCTGAAACCATCATGGATGCGCCCTATGCTAAGAAAACGTTAATTTATTGTCGTTAAGGTCTTGATGTGTTATTGTATTCCTAGCTGATACAGCGCACGTGTTATATTGCTGTGCCACTCTAAAACGTGTCCGAAATATCAATAACTTCTTGATAGGTGTTTATTGGCGTTAAATACACTCCGTAGCTAAGGTTTTCTACAGCATATTGTTTCAACCTATACTGGAGGGATTTATGGTCAACATAATGACCTGATTTTAAACGCATACGTCTGCCCGGATCAGGAACTATTTAATTTTGACTGCTTCTGTAGGTTCGATATCTCTTTAGTTGTATTTTACTTTAACTGCAAGATGCACATATCAATTTGTTTGTTGGTATTATATTAGGTATTCTATAATAATTAAATATAGTCGTCTTTTCTATTGTTTATGATCAAGTACAATCATTTATTTTTATTTTATATTCGTGTTTTTGATTGATATAAATTAATTTTGACAAAATACGGAAATGCAATATAAACACTCGACGTTTAATTTGACATAAATGTAATTTTCCTTTAAGCAATGGAAGTTAAGTAGGTATTGTGGAAGTTTCACCATGTATTCTGTTGTAATTGTTCAATGATTTTAGTTGCTTTGCCTTTATACTAAGCTTTTACGAATATTGGTCTCAAGTCGAAAATATCAATACTTTCATTTTAATTCATCTATTGTATACGATTTAAAGGGATTGCAAATGTTCTGCTCTGTAGGGTGTGTAGCTCGACAAATATCTTTCAATTATTGAAGAATCACATTTCACTGGGATCTGCAATCTTTCTCACTCGGAACCAAAACGTTTGACAATTTCCACATTGATGTAATTTTAAAGAAAAGCGACTAAAACAATAAGTATTTAGGCCACTTATGATTGACGTTACCGACTCTAAATTTATTCTGTAAACAAAGACTGACCAGTCGCAAATACGTATGCCCAACCTACCTCGAGCCTGGTTGTTTGGATACATCTGAAAGCCTGCCGTGGACGCGAGGACTACCCATGTTAAAGTCACTTGCTGCACCACCTTTAGCCACATGTCCGTACTTCCTGGAATGAACGTCTACCTGTCTTGGGGCCCTTTAAACTCACACAAACTGGCGGACATAAAGAAGATGGCTGCTGTATCTGTCTGGGCTAATGATGACACAGATACTGGCCATAACTAAGTGGTGTACATCTGTGGTGGACAGATAGATTAATGCCAAAGTGTGTTTGTCGTGTCAGCTGCATTCTAAATATACATTCTGATAATTAATAAAGGGAAGATTACAGTTTTTGTTTTTAAAATCTTAATAAAATTTAAAAAGAAGCAACTATATTGCCTAATTTGAAATGTATTGGGTTGCTATTAATAATGATATTAATAAATACAACCTTCGTTTCTGTAAAGGCAGCTAAGGGTATTGTGATTTAAAATGTATCATTATTTTGTCAACAGTGACACATTGATACGGTCCTTAATATAATAGTTTATGTTACCTGCATTTGACCTAGGTTTATATCGCATGGTGGTGTTCTGGTTAGGTACTAGTGGGGTTGTTCTGGTTAGGTACTGGTGGGGGTGTTCTGGTTAGGTACTGGTAGTGGTGTTCTGTTCAGGTACTGGTGGTGGGGTTCTGGTCAGGTACTGGTAGTGGTGTTCTGGTCAGGTACTGGGAGTGATTTTCTGGTTAGGTACCGGTAGTGGTGTTGTGGTCGGGTACTGGTAGTGGTGTTCTGGTCAGGTAATGGTGATGGTGTTCTGGTTAGGTACTGGTAGTGGTGTTCTGTTCAGGTACTGGTGGTGGTGTTCTGGTCAGGTACTGGTAGTGATTTTCTGGTTAGGTACCGGTAGTGGTGTTCTGGCCAGGTCCTGGTAGTGGTGTTCTGGTCAGGTAATGGTGATGGTGTTCTGCTTAGGTACTGGTAGTGGTGTTCTGGTCAGGTACTTTTTGGGTTGTTCTGGTTAGGTACTGGTAGTGGTGTTCTGTTCAGGTACTGGTGGTGGTGTTCTGGTCAGGTACTGGTAGTGATTTTCTGGTTAGGTACCGGTAGTGGTGTTGTGGTCGGGTACTGGTAGTGGTGTTCTGGTCAGGTAATGGTGATGGTGTTCTGCTTAGGTACTGGTAGTGGTGTTCTGGTCAGGTACTTGTGGTGTTGTTTTGGTCAGGTACTGGTAGTGATGTTCTGGTTAGGTACTGGTACTGGTGTTCTGGTTAGGTACTGGTAGTGGTGTTCTGGTTTGGTCCTCGTGGGGTTTTTCTGGTAAGGTACTGGTAGTGATGTTCTGGTCAGGTACTTGTGGGGTTGTTTTGGTTAGGTACTGGTAGTGATGTTCTGGTTAGGTACTGGTACTGGTGTTCTGGTTAGGTACTGGTAGTGGTGTTCTGGTCAGGTTATATCGCATGGTGGTGTTCTGGTTAGGTACTAGTGGGCTTGTTCTGGTTAGGTACTGGTGGGGTTGTTCTGGTCAGGTACTGGTAGTGGTGTTCTGGTTAGGGACTTGTGGTGGTGTGCTGGTTAGGTTCTAGTGGGGTTGTTCTGGTCAGGTACTTGTAGTGGTGTTCTGGTTAGGTACTGGTAGTGGTGTTCTGTTCAGGTACTGGTGGTGGGGTTCTGGTCAGGTACTGGTAGTGGTGTTCTGGTTAGGTTCTGGTACTGGTGTTCTGGTTAGGTACTGGTAGTGGTGTTCTGGTCAGGTACTGGTAGTGATTTTCTGGTTAGGTACCGGTAGTGGTGTTCTGGTCAGGTACTGGTAGTGGTGTTCTAGTAAGGTACTGGAATTGGTGTTCTGGTTAGGTACTGGTAGTGCTGTTCTGGTTAGGTACTTGTGGGGTTGTTCTGGTCAGGTACTTGTAGTGGTGTTCTGGTCAGGTACTGGTGGTGGTGTTCTGGTTAGGTACTGGTAGGGGTGTTCTGGTTAGGTACTGGTAGTGATTTTCTGGTTAGGTACCGGTAGTGGTGTTCTGTTCAGGTACTTGTGGGGTTGTTCTGGTTAGGTACTGGTAGTGGTGTTCTGTTCAGGTACTTGTGGGGTTGTTCTGGTTAGGTACTTGTAGGGTTGTTCTGGTTAGGTAGTGGAAGTGGTGTTCTGGTAAGGTACTGGTAGTGGTGTTCTGGTCAGGTAATGGTGATGGTGTTCTGGTTAGGTACTGGTAGTGTTGTTCTGGTTAGGTACTGGTAGTCGTGTTCTGGTCAGGTACTGGTAGCGGTGTTCTGGTTAGGTACTAGTATTGGGGTTCTGGTTAGGTACCTGTAGTGGTGTTCTGGTTAGGTACTGGTGGGGTTGTTCTGGTTAGGTACTGGTAGGGGTGTTCGGGTTAGGTACTGGTAGTTGTGTTCTGGTTAGGTACTGGTAGTGGTGTTATGGTTAGGTACTGGTAGTGGTGTTCTGTTCAGGTACTTGTGGGGTTGTTCTGGTTAGGTACTTGTGGGGTTGTTCTGGTCAGGTACTTGAAGTGGTGTTCTGGTAAGGTACTGGTAGTGGTGTTCTGGTCAGGTTCCGGAGGTGATGATATCGTTAGGTTCCGGTGGGGATATTATCGTTAGGTTCCGGTGGTGATATTATCGTTAGGATCCGGTGGTGATATTATCGTTAGGTTCCGGGGGTGATATTATCGTTAGGTTCCGGTGGTGATGTTATCGTTGAAGCAATTAACCTTCCGGAACACCTGGTCGAATTCTTCTTGTACTTTTTCAATGTTCACCCTGTGTTTATTTCCCTTTGTTAAGTGTTAGGTACTGGTAGTGGTGTTCTGGTTAGGGACTGGTAGTGGTGTTCTGGTCAGGTACTGGGAGTGATTTTCTGGTTAGGTACCGGTAGTGGTGTGCGGGTAAGGTACTGGTAGTGGTGTTCTGGTCAGGTAATGGTGATGGTGTTCTGGTTAGGTACTGGTAGTGGTTTTCTGGTTAGGTACTGGTAGTGATGTTCTGGTTAGCTACTGGTAGTGATGTTCTGGTTAGGTACTGGTAGTGGTGTTATGGTTAGGTACTGGTAGAGGTGTTCTGGTTAGGTACTGGTGGTGGTGTTCTGGTCAGGTACTGGTAGTTGTGTTCTGGTCAGGTAATGGTGATGGTGTTCTGCTTAGGTACTGGTAGTGGTGTTCTGGTCATGTACTGGTGGTGGTGTTCTGGTCAGGTACTTGTGGGGTTGTTTTGGTTAGGTACTGGTAGTGATGTTCTGGTCAGGTACTGGTAGTGGGGTTCTGGTCAGGAACTGGTAGTGGTGTTCTAGTAAGGTACTGGAATTGGTGTTCTGGTTAGGTACTGGTAGTGATTTTCTGGTTAGGTACCGGTAGTGGTGTTCTGGTCAGGTACTGGTAGTGATGTTCTGGTCAGGTACTGGTAGGGGTGTTCTGGTTAAGTACTGGTAGTGGTGGTCTGGTTAGGTACTGGTAGTGGTGTTCTGGTCATGTAATGGTGATGGTGTTCTGGTTAGGTACTGGTAGTGTTGTTCTGGTTAGGTACTGGTAGTGGTGTCCTGGTTAGGTACTTGTGGGGTTGTTCTGGTCAGGTACTTGAAGTGGTGTTCTGGTAAGGTACTGGTATTGGTGTTCTGGTTAGGTACTGGTAGTGCTGTTCTGGTTAGGTACTTGTGGGGTTGTTCTGGTTAGGTACTTGTGGGGTTGTTCTGGTCAGGTACTTGAAGTGGTGTTCTGGTAAGGTACTGGTATTGGTGTTCTGGTCAGGTACTGGTAGTGCTGTTCTGGTCAGGTACTTGTGGGGTTGTTTTGGTTAGGTACTGGTAGTGATGTTCTGGTTAGGTACTGGTAGTGGTGTCCTGGTTAGGTACTTGTGGGGTTGTTCTGGTCAGGTACTTGAAGTGGTGTTCTGGTAAGGTACTGGTAGTGGTGTTCTGGTTAGGGACTGGTAGTTGTGTTCTGGTTAGGTACTGGTAGTGGTTTTCTGGTTAGGTACTGGTAGTGATGTTCTGGTTAGCTACTGGTAGTGATGTTCTGGTTAGGTACTGGTAGTGGTGTCCTGGTTAGGTACTTGTGGGGTTGTTCTGGTAGTGGTGTTCTGGTTAGGTACTGGTTGTGGTGTTCTGGTTAGGTACTGGGAGTGGTGTTCTGGTTAGGTACTGGTAGTGGTGTTCTGGTTAGGTACTGGTAGTGGTGTTCTGGTCAGGTTCCGGTGGTGATGTTATCGTTAGGTTCCGGTGGTGATATTATCGTTAGGTTCCGGTGGTGATATTATCGTTAGGTTCCGGTGGTGATGTTATCGTTGAAGCAATTAACCTTCCGGAACACCTGGTCGTATTCTTCTTGTACTTTTTCAATGTTCACCCTGTGTTTATTTCCCTTTGTTAAGTGATGTTCTGTACTGCTCAGCTACGATTGGCCGAAACGACTTCCGGGTATTAAAAAAGAAAATCAACAATACAATCTGGTAGCTTCGGCAACTTCGGAATTTACGTGGCAAATGATATTTTGACCAAACAGAAAGCATTAGTGTCAATCAATAGACAATGAAGCCAACACCATACAGACGTCTGATTATAGGAAGGAATCAACTTCAAAAAGATTTGGAAGTGTAACGGATTCCCTCCAACACATCTCTTGCATTTAATGTGTTTTTATAACCAGACACTTGGATATTTTTTTTCTTATGGAAGAAGATTGGTTATCGATATACTTTCCCACATTTCGACAGGAGACATAAACAGAAATTGCTCAATTTTGATGTCTCAAATTAACCCTTTTTATTTATAAACACGAGCTATTGTAATGAAACTGCCAGATAATGCAAGTTCTATGTATAATGTATTGCATGTCGTCTATAGTTTTTATACCATTTATCATAATGACTATTTAGTTTTGTTGTGTAACATTATAATTTACCTGTCAGAGGAGATATAATTGAATGCAGATTATGGAATTATGCATGAAAGACATAACGAGTAATGATGATTATGAATACTTTCCTAAACGAAGTTGTTAATTACATGTCAACAAATATCATGTCAGTGGTCACCACATCAACGTCATTGCCTAGATATAGGATGTTACATGTACATGATGACATGTTCGCCTCTGTTGTGTTAACGACAGGCTAATTTAACATAATGTATAGAGAGAAAAAAACAGAATATATTAATTGTAGGTTTTACAAAATTAATTGTCGACACAGTATTTCTGAATTTAATTTCCTCATGATAAACATTACGCAGTTATGTATCATCATGCTTGACGATTGCA